TGATACTACGCAAATTCTCTGCTAGAACCCTAAGCATCAGTGGAGAGGCCTTCCCTTGTAATCAGATTGATGACTGCTTGTCGTATCTTATAAATTTCATCCAGTAACTGATGGGAGCAGATGCAGGGATCCAGAGTTAAGCACTGGGCCAAGCTCATAGAACGCATTTGAAGAGAGGGAGGAGAGGCAATGTGAGAAAAGGGGTCAAGGCCAGTTTAGGGATACCCACAAAGACTTCGGACCTGAGCTAGTTGGAGCTGACTGACCTTTGACTGACAGGTAGGGAAACACTCATGGGACCAAACTAGGCCCTCTGAGTGTGTGTGACAGTAGTGTGGCTTGTGCAGTCTGTGGGACCCCTAGTGTTTGAACTGGCTTTGGGGAGTCCATTCTCTTTGGACGCATACCCTGCTCAGCCTAGATATGGGGGGAGGGCCTCGATCCTGCCTCAAAGTAATGTGCCAGAGGTCATTGACTCCCCATGGGAAGCCTTGCCCTCTCTGAAGAGGGTATGGTGAGTGGGATGGGAAGAGGAAGGGGTCAGCAGGAGGACTGGAGGGAGCGGGAACTGGGATTGGTATGTAAAATGAGAAAAGGTTGTTTTGAAAATAAAAACTGATTTAAAAAGGATCCCAAAATCTCTAACAGAAAACTATTAGAAATGATCAACAGTCTCATTTCAGTGGTAGTATACAAAATTTACAACAACCAATGCCCATTCTAAGTATCTGTAACACACAATCAAAGAAATTACAGAAACAACCCTATTTATGATAGTCTGAAAAAAATAACACAATGTACAGGAATAAATCTAATGAAATAGTTGAAAGAGCTAAATAATGAAAATTTCGAAACTTTGAAGAAAACCGTTTTGGAGGATACTTGCATATGGAAAGACCTTCATTGCGCATGGATGGAGGAATTAATTTTGTGAAAATACACCGTCCTGCCAAAAGTAATCTGCAGATTCAATCCAAGCCCAACCAACATACCAGGACCTTTATTCAAAGAAATAGAAAAGAAGTCTCTCAATTATATAGAAGCACAAAGGAAGATGTAGGATAACCAACGCAATCCTAAATAAAATGAATGGGGTAGGAGGTCTCATCACACTTGATTTCAAGTTATATTACTGAGCCATAGTAACTAAAACATCACAGTACTATCACAGGTAGCATATAGATAAAGAGTAGAATAGAATGGAATAGAATAGTAGATTCTGATATGTCTATCCAAAAACAGTTACCTGATAATTGACAAAGATATAAAAAATGAACACCGGGGAAAGACAAATCTTCAGCAGTTGATAACAGTAAACACAGATTTCTTTTTTTTTTTTAAGCACCAAAACATGTGTTTATTGTTCCCAGATCACACTGTAACGTGTACACTATCATTTTGACCTACATTTTTTTTATTGCAATATGAACTTCTAGATGATTACTAACATTTGCAAAGTACAGCTCACTGTTCTACACGGAGATGGTTTAAAACAAGCATTCATACATTCAACCAAATTTTCCAGCAAAAGCGTATAGAATAGAATAAACATTCTGCTCCTTTTAATTATGCACAAAACCCAGAAAGATCCTCTAGGAATGAATGGATGCTATATCTCACTTTGAATCTCTTTCAAAACAATCAAAAGTATCATAACCTAAAACCCCTATTCTCCTAATTAGAATACTTGTTTTATATGTTGGCCTGGAACAGTGGAACTAGGATGTATCCCTGGTGCACAAAAGGACTTTGGGAGCACATTCCCCAGGGAGGGATACTCCCTTAGCCTAGAGACAGGAGGGAGGGCCTAGGCCCTACTCCAAATGATTTGACAGATTTTGTTGACCCCTCCTGGAAGGCACCATCCTCCCTGTGGAGTCGGGGCAGTGGGGGGGGGGGGGATGGTTGGGTGGTAAGTGGCATGGAAGAGGGAACTGGCATCGTTATGTAAAATAAGAAAATAAATAAATAAAATGAAATACATGCTAATGTAAAAATTTGCAACTAATAGTTTATTTTTATTTTAAATGTAGACTCAGTAGTCTACCCTTTTATCCTCTAATTCCTATATACCCCTCTTTTTTCCTTTCAGAAAGAGATCCTTGAGTGCAAGCTCCCTAATTTTGTTTCTTTCCTTAACATGACCACTAACAATTTGCAACCAACCCCCTGAACGATGACAAATATCCATAACCCAACAAATGACCAAAACCCACCCACCTCTTGGGAATATGGGCATTATGTTCTTCTTGTCAGGGCATGATGACATTTTTAGGAGACCCTGACATATGTAAGATAAGTCAAGTCCTGGGAGAACCAGCTGTTGTCTAGTCTTACTGTGATGGGATAAAAACGTAGAGCTGACAGGGAGTCTGGCTGGAGTAGCCCGTGAAGCTTAATCCTCTCAGCTAACAGCTTCGCAGTTGTTCTGGGTGCAGAGTTTTGAAGAAAAGGGCAACACAGGCAGGCAGTCTGAAAGGCTGCATCACCTGGGGTACTTGTCCTTCTCAGCAGCTTTTGTTTTTGTTTTGAAAACACACAAACTTTAAACCCATAATGCAGCTGCATGCATGGTGCTGGCTGGCTCAAGCCAGCAGGCAATGGCCACCTGAGGGATGGAAGGAATAGGTAGCCATGTATGGCTCACAGTTTGGAACAATTTTAAAGCTTTCTCGGGTCCTATGTGGAAATAATTGCCCCCACATTTTGGATTCTTAGTGTAAGGAGTCTTTCTCTGTCCTGCTAGCCGGTTCCCAAATAATGAGACAGAGAATTTGTATTAATTGTGAAACCTTAACTTGTTTCTAATTGGTATGTATAGCTTAAATTAACCCATTTTTTTTATTGATCTACATCATGTAATGTGGCTCAGTTACCTACTGTTTTTTCATTCTGTACCTCTGACTTGTTCTGAGTCTCCTGGCATCTCTCTGGCATTATCTGCATGTCTAGCTTCCTTATTCTCTTCTTCTCTCTCCCTGGAAATTCTACCTATCTCTTCCACCTAGCTATCATGGAAATACCTCTCTTTTATCTTACATCTGCAGTTTCCTCTCTGTTTGGGTTCTGGCTGGTGACTCTACCTCTCTTCATTCCAGAGTTCTCACTCTGAGCACCTATACTTTCTGCACAGGTATTGGTCATTCCGCTTGATCTTACACTGATCACAGCAAAACACCTTCACACAGCATACAAATATCCTGCAACAAAACTGTAATTGTGTGTGAGACAATAAGCCTGCAAATAAAAGTATGAAGCAATCTACTTTAGTGTCACTGTGGGAACCAGACAGTAAGATGAATTATCATAGTACCCATCTGCAGATAGAGCAAGAGCACACATAGCTACCAACACTGTCTTGGAGCCCTGACCCTACCTCACCCACCATGAAGGAGGAAGTCTGACTGCAATGATCCTTCACAAGGGTAGGTCCAAGGGCTGAATAGTTTTAGCCTCCTTTCTTGAACAAAGAACCTTTTGCATTTTGGGAAGTTTAGTTTTCAGTTCTGTTTTGATAACCTTTACAGTTTACAATAATTTATTAACCACCTGTAAAACATGAGAGCACAGAGGGACTCTTTAACCACAAAATTTACATGACAAAACCCTCTTGTATCCAAACCACATTGTAAAATAGTCTTGTCAGTTAAGCAATGCTTGAATGTCCAAATCTCAAGCACTCCTGAACCCATGAGTATTGTGAAAATGATGATGCTAATATTGGGCAATCATCATGATGCTGAGGCTCATAGTCTGAGTGCTAACAACATTTGAGTTGGAATGAACATTTGTGGATGAACTGGCATTAAATGAAAATCAGCTTTCACAAAACCAGGATTCTGAACAGTGAAATGGGAACACAAAAGAAATAAGAATTTTCAGAGGTTTATTCCTGTGAAAATCATGTATGTTGGTAATTATTTAACTGAATAGAATGTAATCAAGAGCCATGAGAATACTGAATTTCCTTTGTTTTCCTGAAAGTCTCTTCTGTGTTCATTCAGAAGAACTGAAGGATCAGTTGCTTAGTATGTCCCTTCTTGTCTGTTTCCTGCCAGCAACATCAACCTCTGCCTTCCTTATTGTGAATCCCTACTCTACAGGCTTGGCATGACTCTTGTCCTATTGAAGTCCCTGTAGGTGGAGGTGGCCTCCAGAAGAGGGTTTAACCAGTATTCTTTCATGGTTTAGAGGTCCCCAAAGCTACTCTTCTACCATTTTTTACAAAGGTCAGTGAAATTATCCAGGTATATAACCATGAAAACTTTACAATATGGCTTGGAATTGTTGAGCACAGTATCTCAAACTTTGGGAGGTAGTACTGGTTGGTGGATCTTTCCTGGTCTATGTAGTGAGTCCCAGGACATCCAGAGCTACACAGTAAAACACTATCTCAACAAACAAACACAGAAAAAAAAACAAACTAAAAAAAAAAACCCAAAACAAAATAAATTGAGCACATGCTTCTAGGTTCTTTGGTTCAACATATACATTTGTGTAGAACCTTTTGTGTTTGTTTCTGTTACTGGTGCCACTGGGAAGAGTACGTATGAATTCCCAGGGAAAGTTCACAATATATCCCCTGAAAATAAATTCTCCTGCAGGGGAAGGTAGAAAACTTGCCATGTTGTGGTCTGGTTGACAGAGTGAAGGAGAACCAAGATGAAATAATGAGAGAAATGGACACCTCCTCAGCTGAAGGTGCCGGCTCAGGAAGATACCACGTTTATTTTGTATTAAGTCCTGGTCCGTAGCGATTGACAGTAGGATTCAGCTAGATGTAGAGGCTAACAGTGAAAATGCAAGAAGGGACCACTGTTAAATTTGGGGTTACGACCTCAGAATAAGAAAGCTGAAGGGGAAGGGGGAGGAGACTGAAACCTGCATGAGGCTCTGTCTCAGAAACACATAAGGAAAAATTAAGAAACACAAAGACACAGAAGCCTCAATGTGCAGCTCAGCCCATCACAATACTGGGGAAAGAAGATTCAGGTGCCTAAGAAGAGCAGTTCCTCTTTCTCACGGGCTTCTATACTACACCCTCAAGACACAAAGGGGAAGCCACCCTGGACGGACAGAAGAGATACTTTGTGTCCATCCATTTGTCAAGGAGAACAACTGTCTGTAAACTTGTAGCAAATGGAAGACACCACCACAGCCTCTCTCACATCCTTGCTGTTTCTTGGTGAGATGTCAAAATGGGAGGAGGGAATTCTAGTTGAAGAGGGAGACCACCTCACAGCCATGCCTATTAACGCAGCAGCTCGAAAGTCTGGAATTAGAGGGCCTGCCCATGTTTCAGTGCAAACACTCACAGGTATCTCTCTTGCAGGACTGAGTCTGGGCCTCAGGAACCCAGTGCTGGCAGGTGAGTGTCTTCCCAGCTGCCCCAGATTGGACATCGTTGATGGGCATCACGTGTAACTCATGAACAGAGCAGACGGAGAACAGCAGGTGTTGGTGATGTTGTGAATGACGGAATAGTCCTGAGTCTGAAAGTGTGCGTATGAGGGAGCTTATGGGGACACAGCTGTCAATTTCCTTGCAGGGGACTTCTTTAAACCTATGCTCAGTGTAGTGCCGAGAAGCGTGGTAACCACTGGGGACCAGGTGATATTCTTCTGTGAAGGGCCCTTAGAGGCCAAGGAATACATGCTCTATAAAGAAGGAAGGCCAGATTACCTGATAACCCTTCTAGAAACTGGGAACAAGGCCAAGTTCCAAATCTCATCTGTTCAATGGAAGGATGCAGGCAGATATTGGTGCAACTATAAAGTCACCGATGGCAGATCAGTAGACAGTGACTTCCTGGAGCTGGTGGTGACAGGTGAGAGGACCCTTCCCCAATCCTACATTCTGCCTTGAGGACAGAATATTCTCATCCAGGTCACCCTTTCTCAAATCCTGTGAGATGGGAACAATCCTTCCCAAATGAGGTCACGTAACAGGCTTCCTCTTCTATCCTAGGAGTTTACTCCGGCAAATTGAAACTGTCAGTCCTTTCCAGCCCTGTGATATACCCAAGAGCCAATGTGTCCCTTGAATGTGTGTCACAACAGGCATATAGCTGGTTCATTATAACGAAGGAAGATGAGAAGTTCTCCAGACCTATGACCTCACAGGGTATATATCCTGATCTGTTTGGTGCCCAGTTCACAGTGGGACCTATAACTCCCAACCAGACGTGGAGGTTCATGTGCTATGGCTTTTATTGGAGCAGCTCCCAGCTGTGGTCAGTGCCCAGTAACCACCTAGAGCTCCTGGTCTCAGGTAAGGAAGTGCTTGACCTTCATTTTAGCATAGTTGTAGCTGGCACAGGATCCCAGCAAAGGACCTGATGTGCTGTGGGAAATAGTCAGGGCTATTGAACTTAATGTCATAGAATGTGTGATGCAGCTTGACTTGAGGTGGAAAAACCAGGGGTGATGTTAAAATTGGAATCCAAGATCAAAGGAAAATTGTGGCCATTATGTGTCCTGCTATTGCAAATCAGCTCGTGTGTCCCTGCAATGGTGACCTTCTCTGTGTAATTCTCCTAACTGATTCACCTCCTTCCTTTCTACTTATTTGCCAGGAACTTTCATAATTCTCCTAACTGATTCTCTGTGTAATTCTCCTAACTGATTCACTTCCTTCCTTTCTACTTATTTGCCAGGAACTTTCATAACCCCATAATCCCCATGATATGGGCTGAGCCAAGCTCTATGATCACATCAGAGAGTCCTGTTGCCATATGGTGTGAAGAGACCCGAGAAACCCAAATGTGTGTGCTAGACAAAGAGGGAAACCTAGAAGCCTGGGACAGGTAGAATCACAATGAAGCAAAATTCACTATCCCTTCTGTGAAGACACTGCAGGCAGGGTCATATCACTGTTACTCTTACAATTCTGCTGGTTGGTCAAAATGCAGGGATAACCTTGAGCTGGTGGAGTCGATGCTCAAGAGTCATAGGGATGTGACTGTTAATAAAAGTCTGCTCTGAACATATCCCCAGTCATTAGTCAGTCAGCTCTGTGGGGGGGGGCAATTCAGACTGTGTGAATCCATTTAATAGTCCATATGTAGCTCTCTTAGGTGTCTAAAACAAACCCACCCTGTTTGTACTGCAAAACCCTGTTGTAGTTTTAGGAGGATCTATGACCCTCTCATGCATCTCAAATCAGAGATAAAGCAGTTCTCCAGCTCTATGGGCTCATAGTATGTATATACTGGGATGTCTCCAGCTAGGTTCCAAGTGGTTTCATCACATTCAGTGAGAGACAAGAGTTTCAGATACTATGGCTATTACTCAAACAATCCTCGAGTGCTGTTAGAAGGGAGTAACATCCTCGAGCTTCTAGTCTCAGGTGAGGAAGCTTCAGCCTCTCTACTGAATGACACTGAGCCTGAAACAGCTTTCTCCAGGAGACCCTGATTTGTGATGAGCACAGGGAAGCACAGAACCATTATCCCACTGATACAGATGCAAATTGTGGGAGGTAAGAAACCAATGAGGGGTGTTGTCTGAATGGAACTTGGAGGGTCTGAAGAGAGATGGACCTTCAGCTAGCTCTGTGTGTCCTTCTGTTATTCAAGACTGAGTTTCAACTGTTTAAAGACCCACATCCTTGTCACTTAGCTCTTTTCAGGTACCCTCTGGAAACCCACCATGCTCTCTGATCATGTCAGGGAAGCCTGTGACAATCTCATGTGAGGGAACTATGGGAACTCAAATATTTTTCCTATAGAAAGAAGAAGCTCAGCACCCTAAGACTAACTGCACCAGTGCCTAATTGTAAAACCAAGTTTATCATCCCATCCATGGGAGTGTATAATGCAAGCCAATATCACTGTTACTGTTATAACTCTGCTGGGTGGCCTGGGCAAAGTGATCCCCTATAGCTGGTAGTGACAGGTGATAGGAGAATATGGGTCACAGTGCTTGCCTTTTCCTGTGGATGAATCCTGAGAGCTGGCAGAAAAATGGCCCACGTGAAATAATAAGGAACTGTTTTGATTTACATTTCTCTGATGGCTTAGGATGTTGAGCAATTTCTTAAGTGCCTTTCTGCTACTCAAGATTCCTATGTTGCAAAGTCTCTACTTAGTTCAGTACTCCACTTTTAAATTGGATTATTTAATGTTTTGGTGACTGGCTTCTCAAGTTCTTTGTTTAATTTGGAGATTAGCCCTCTGTCAGACATGGTGTTGGTGAAGATCTCTCATTCTGTGGGCTGCCATATTGTCTTGTCCACTGTGTCCTTTACCTTCCAGAAGCTTCTCAGTTTCAGGAGAACACATTTATTGATTGTCAGTCTCAGTGACTGCAACTGATGTCATGTTCAGGAAGTGCTTTCCTCTGCCGATTCATTCAAGGGCACTTCCTACTTTCTCTTAGAGGGTCAGTGTGGCTGAATTATTTTGAGATCTTTGTGCATGAAGATAGATATGGATATATTGGCAACCTTATTCATGTCAGCATCCAGTTATGTTGGTGCCATTTGTTGAAAATGTTTTCTTTTTTTCCATTGTGTAAGTTTAGTTTCTTTGTCAAAAAATCAGATGTTCATAGGTGTGTGGATTAATATCAGGGCTTTCAATTCTATTCCATTTGTGTACCTGTCTGTTTTTGTTTTAATACCAAGCTGTTTTCAGTATTGTAGCTCTCTAGTAAAGCTTGAAGTCAGGGATGTTGATGCTTCCAGAAGTTCCTTTATTGTACATGGGTGTTTTTGCTCACAATATCCACAAACAACATAAAGTATCTTGGGGTAACTCTAACAAAATCAGTGAAAGGCCTGTATGACAAGAACTTTTAAGCCTTTAAAGAAAGAAATTAAAGAAGATATCAGAAAATGATAAGATCTCCCATGCTTTTGGATAGGTAGGATCAACAGCAATACTGACAATCTTACCAAAAGCAAACTACAAATTCAATGCACTCCTCATCAAAATCCCAGCAAAATTCTTCACAGACTCTGAAAGAATAATTCCCAACTTTATATGGAGAAATAAAAAACCCAGAATAGCAAAAGCAAGTCTTCCATGTCATTTCTTGAGCACAAATATATTGTGTACTCTATATTTTACTGCAGGAAACACATCTCCCAAATATTTCAAACCATAGCCAAAATGCTGGAGGCAAAGTATCATTTAACAGCCTGCATCCTGTAAACCTACTCTGTCAGCCTTTCCAAGTCCTGTTGTGACCTCTGGTGTGACCTTCACTGTGTCTCATCCTAAGGATATGATTGTTTAATTACAATTGGGGAAGATCAGAATTTCTTCAGGTCCCTCAAGGCTCAATATACACACAGTGGACAATCCCAAGCTTTGTTTCCTGAGTTCCCTATATCATTCAGAAACAGTAGGCATTTTAGACATTATGAACATTCAAAGAGTAGCTGACATGTCTGGACAGAGAATAGTGACCCTGTGGAGATATATTTCTCAGATGATGAAGTCTCATTCACTCATCTGTGTTTTGACATGATAATGTTTTATCATTATCTCTGCTGCCCCCAAGGATGATGGTTCACATCATGATGGCTGATGGGAACTCTGTGATTCAGAATATGAGTAACAAAGACACTGCCAGAACAAGATAGTAAGGTTATTTGCCTTAGACTTTCTGTTGTTGAAATTACTGCCAAAAAGCATGTTGTAGAGGAAAGCAGTAATTTGACTTACACTTTAACAACACTGTTAATCCTAAAAAAGAAAGATGGGAACTCAAAGATGAACTTAGAGGCAAGAGTTGATACAGAAGATCTGGATGTGTGCTGCTTACTGGCTTATCTTCCTGGCTTGCTCAGCCCCCTTTCATACAGGACTCAGAACCACCATCCCAGGGATGGTAACATGCACAACAAGCCAGGCTCTCCCTTCACCCCATGGAGTCTGAGGACAGAGGTGTAAGCTAGAACTCTGTTGCCGGATTGGATCATGGATTCCATCTAAATATGAGATATATGGAGTCTCTCCCGAGAGGGTAACATGTAAAAGCCCCTCTCCTTTGTGATTTGCAATTTCTACAGGGTATTAATTAGAGAGCCCTGGCCTAGATGTTAAGTTCCTTTTAGTTCTGATCTTATGTGTGGTTTTTCTCATGCATAGAATGTTTCTAGAAGCCACTTCTATAATTGCCTGGGTCTTTCTGACACTGTAATGGTAACACTGTGTAGGGGTATGCAGCAGGGCCACGACAAGGCATTCAGGCTCCTTCCTTAGAGTTCATGCAGTTTACCTCCAGAGTAGGCAGTCAAGGCTGAAGGCTGGACTTCTTGGGTTAAAGTTCTGCAATGTCCCTTCCTGCTGAATGGCCAGCAGGTAAAATGCCTAGCAGTGATGAGAGTCAGTCTCACATTGCATGCCTTTGAGGGTAAGAGGTAGTGAATACAAAGACTCGATATGGGCCTCACACACAATTCCTCATTCATGAATTAGCTTCCAGGTTACCATGCTTCAGACTCAGGAAACATAGTATGGCTTCCTTATATTATAATTGGAAGTGGGAGGTGATTTTTTTCACCAATCTTTAGTTCTCAATGCTGATGTGGATTTAATCCTCAAGTATCTTAGCCCAAGTATGAACTCAAACATGTTGATGAGTTTAAGAATCCAGTAGGATGATCAAAAGGAATCAAGGTATAACAAGAAAAGGGCTTATACTGTACACTACCAAGTTATGTGATTAGTCTAATAGGCAAATATAGGAAGTGAAATTTGTCAGGAAACATGAATGTGGACCTCAGTGTAGACACTATGCTCTCATGTAAATTTCATTAATTGTGCACCTGTTCTTAGGATCTGCCGAGAACACCATTGCATCACAAATCATGTCCAAACAAGAAGCAGGTGAGTAAGAAGCATTCTCAGTAATAGAGCGGCTCTTGTGATTTTGTTCTTCCCTGCACTCTTTATCCACAGCCTCAGCCCCAGAGACCCAGAATGATTACACAGTGGAGAATACCATCAGGATGGGCATGGCCGGCTTGGTACTTGTGGCCCTTGGAATACTGGTGTTTGAGTCCTGTCACGGATGTAGACAAGTTCAACAAGGAAATGGAAAGGGAATGGGAGATACACCAATGCAGCCTATGCAGTGTCATTCATTGCCTGGACAATAAATATGAGGACTCTGAGTGGTTTCATAGAAAAAGGTAGTACTCATCTTGGAGAACTACTGTAGAAAGCATGCTAGGAATACATATAAATTGAGTGCAAGGGAAATATCTGTCTGCTGGAGTGGAGAACTCTTTCCAATGCAATTGAAGTTATTCCATTACACCTTGCTGTGGACATTTGCTGAGTAACTCTTTATTTCTCCCCGCCTAATGATGTGGGAGGACATCATGTACCATCAACCAGGGTTGGGCCCTCATCTTTGTACATATTCTGCTCTGATTTATTTTCATGTAACCTTTCCTATTATTTTAAATTACTATGTTCCAACCTACATTATGAATTTCCATTTCTGTTCTACTGAGAACAAGCTACTTGGCTCAATTACAATAAATATCAGCTGAAACAAGAATCCAGAACTTAAATAAGTAACTTAATTCACATGATGCTCTAAACCTCTTCTCGGAAGTCAAGGAACCTGCAGTTTTCACAATATGTCAATTGTGTGATTTATCTTAATACAGCAAAGATTGCCACTGAAAAACCAATGTTAAGAGAAATTCACTAGTTGAGCACTTTTGAAACAGCTTTGACATCATTACTTTAAAAAGCAAACTCGTGATGTGAAGTATTTCCTAATTACTGTCTACATTCCCTTTATCATCATTTCAAAAGTACCTATATATGATGGGTAGATCTGGGACTGGAGGGTAGATGGTGTGTGTGTGCAAATGACATGATATGCCTGTGGAAGTCACAGTAGTCAAATCTCTCATTCCACTGTATGTGATCCCTGAATCAATTCTAGGTCGCCAGGCTTAGCAGTAACATCTTTTATCCACAAAGATGTCTTTTCGCTAAAAGTTCTTAATGCCATTATATCAAATGTATGATGTTCAGAAGTAATATATAAAGCTGGCAACAGATATAGAGGTACTGCCCTGGATTGCTGAGCTCAAAGATGGGAATTCAGACCCTCACTTGGCTGAAATGCATGAGGATATAGACCTTAGACTTCCCCGTTAGGAAAAAAAAATAATTCCACATCTGGATTTATGTCATCAAAACTCTTATCTATCCAGAATCATCACATAGATTTCAGTAGTACATGGAGCTTGGTAAAAACATCAAATTTATATAACTATGCAGAGAAGATGGATTCATTGACTTCCTACTTTCAAGACATTATTCCAAGCACACTCAAGCCACAGAAGGTTTAACCTCCACCATCAAAGCAGAGTTCAACAATGCCACCCAATATCATTGCACATGGACAATTTCCATAAGGGTCAGTATGCCTGATCTTCATAGTCTTTCTTCCCACAGATCAGCTCAGAAGAGAACATACATGTGAAATAAAAAATGATGGATTTTATTATGACATTTTCAAGAATGTAGGTGGTGTATTGTGACAATAATAATTATAGATAATTAGTGTTTGTTTCCCTCAAATCTTTGCCAGTGTTTTGTACTGTTTTTTGTTTTTGTTTTTGTTTTGATAGTAGCCATTGTGACAGGGACACAATGGATCTTCAAATGTGATGCTTAATGTTTGCTCCCTATTTATTGCTAGTCTTCTCACAACAGTGGCCAGCTCATATATAATTTTTCTTAAACATTTCCCACCAATTTCAAGATGAGATCCTAGACTATATTCTTTGTGCCATAGGCACTGAGATATGGGGCTCCGGGATCCTGATTGAGTTTCACTTCTCATAACAGCCAATATTCTGCTCTTTTGAGAAACTACACTTAAGCCCATCTGTCCCAGTGCTCAGGCTTCCCAGCTTCCAGTTTTCTTCCCAGCCTCACCCCAGATCTCAGTTCTTTTCCACTTCTAATGATTCTTTTAAATTTATTTATATTATCATCCAAAGCAATGGCTTCCATTGTGGCATCTTCAAGCATATTTGTCATTATACTTAGTTCTCATTTGTTGGTGTGCTTACTGTCCTAGTTATTTGACATGGATTTTCCCCCTTATTCCTTCAGTGGCTCACTTTATATTGTCCCATTAAATGTATTGTGTTATCTTCTTCCCTTCCTTAGTTTTGTGACCTATAAACATTAAAATTACACACACGCACACACACACACACGCACACACACACACATATATGTAATTTTAAATTTATACTGTGGATATGTGTGCCATTTGATTTTTCATGCTGGCATACTTTCTTTAACATAATGATTTCAGTTACATCAATTGTTCTCAGCATGTCTCTGCATTACCTAGTTATGTTACTTATCTATTTAGTAGTTCTTTGAGCATTTCCTATAATGAGTTTCAACCATATCTATGCCTTTCTTGACTCCTCCCATACTCCCTTATCTAGTCGAGTTCAAATCTACTCCTCATCATTGACCTTTCAAGTATAATGTGTGATTCTTATATATTCCTTGATGTGTGGTCTTTCACTGGAATGTGAATAACCTACAATCTTAAAGAAAATTGACTCCTCAGAAGCTATCAATAATCAATATCTCCTTAAATTTCTGCCAGTTATAGGAAATGAAAATGGAAATAGGAGAAATAAAGAGAAGACATCCTGAAGAAATTCTGGAAATGCAAAATCTAAGTATGCAAACAGAAACTATAGATGTAATCATCACCAACAAAATCCAAGATATGGAAGACAGATTCTCATGCATTGAAGATACAATGAAAGAAATGTAAACAAACCTCAATGAAAATGTTCAATCTAAAAAAAATTATAATACATATCATCAGAGTAAATCTGGAACTCTATAAAATAAAGATCAAACCTAAGAAATAAAGGAATAGAGAAAGAGAAGATTCCCAGTTCAAAGGCCCAGAAAGTATTTTTGACAAAGCTATAAAAGAAAAATTTCCCAACCTAAAGATGTATATGTTTTTAAATGTAAAAGAAACTTATTGACAATCAAATATATTGGACCAGTAGAAGAAGACTTCTTGCCACTTAATATTCAAAACACTAAAGACACCGAACAAAGAAAACTTTAAAAGCTGCAAGAAAAAAATTCAAATAACATATAAAGGCATACCTATTATAACTATGCTCAAACACTTTTTTGAGGCTCCAAAAGTCAGAAGGTCCTGGACAGATGTGCTGACAGATCTAAGAGAACATAGATGACAGTCAAGACTATTATACCCAGCAAAAATTTCAATGATCATAGAGAAAATATGATATGCATGATAATGTCAAATTAAACCATATATAGCCACAAATTCAGTCCTACAGAATGTACTAGAAGAAAATCTCCAAACAGACGAAGTTAACTACACTCTAGAAAAACACAAGCAGTAAATAATCCCAAGCCAGCATAATCGAAATAAGAAAAACTCAAACATACACACTCCGTCACAAAATCTCAACATATACAAGAAAATTGAAATATTATGGGGGAGGTCCTTTTGTATGCTGTGAATATATGTTTCTCTTAGTGGTAGATCAATAGAGCTGTGTTGGCCAGTAAACAGGAAGAATGGAGCCAGGCAGGAAGTATAGGTTGTGCTATCATACTAAGAGAATTCTGGGAAGAGGAACACAGATTGGAGCCTCCAGAGAGACACCATGTAGTTGTAGAAGAAATAACATGTTGGCAGATCATTATGGGTAAGTCACACCCTTGTGGTAATACATGGTTTAATAGAAATTGGTTAATAATTAAGACAGAGCTAGCTGTAAGAAGCTGAGCCATTGATCAACCAATTGTAATTAATACAGATTCACTGTGTTAATTTAGGACTGACTGGACAGAAACTATCATCAGAAATTACCATAGCATTCTATCAGACCACTACAGATTTGAAGCTGTGGATTACAATAAGACAGCAATAGAAAGATTACAAACTCATGGAAACTGAGCACCTTTATTCTGAAGGACTACTAGATCAAGGAAAAACTAAAGAAGCAAATTAAAGACTTCCTAGAATTTAAGTAAAATGAATGCACAATACACCAAAACTTACGAGGCTCAATGAAAGTTGTGCTAAGAGGAAAGTTTATAGGACTAAGTACCTTCATAAGAAAATTGGAGAGACCTTGTACTAGCAAATAACACAATACACAAAATCTCTGGGACAAAAAGAAACAAGGAAATAAAATGGCAGCTGGAATCAGTAGAATAAACACGGGGAGAGAACTATACAAAGATTCAAAACACATACATTTGTTGTTTGAGAAAATAATAATAACCCTTACTCAAAGTAATTAATAGACACAGAGAGAACATCCAAATTTTAAAAATAAGAAAAGAAAATGAGGAGTATAACAACAGATGCTGAGGAAATTCAATGACTCATTAGGTTATACATCAAAAGCCTGTACTCAAAACTGGAAAATCTAAAAGAAGTGAACTATTTTCTCATTGGATACCATTACCAAAATTAAATAGAAGTCACATAAATAGCTTAATAGATTTATAACCCCCAGAGAAACAGAAGCATTCCTTAAAATGTCACAACAAAAAAAATACCCAAAACCAGATGGTTGAGCACAGAATTATAATGAATTATAGAGCTACTGCCAATACTTCTTAAATCACTGTACAAGATAGAAGGCAATAGTCATCTTGATACTTGGTACACACAAAGATTCAACAGAGAAAGAGAACCACACAACAATAGCTCTCATTTGCATACAGGCAAAATGTTAAAAAAATATTTGCAAACAGAATCCAATAACACATCAAAGCCAGGAAGAAGTAGGCTTCATCCAGATGATGCAGGGAAAATTAAAAATAAAAAATGAAAGGTGAAACCCAACATATAACAAACTGAAATAAAAACACATTATCATCTCATTAGATTTTGAAAAAATAACAATATCCCCCCCAACTGTGAAATGCCATGGAATAATCCTCCATACACCATGTGAATATATGATGCTTGATTGATTAATAAGCAAACTGACTGGCCAATTGCTTAAAAAAATGAAGGGATGAGAAAGATAAATGTGCTATGTTAATAAGGTACTACCATGTGGCAGAAAATAAATAAGGAATATGGGTTAACCTAAAATGTAATAGCTAGTCAGTAATAGCCTAAGATATTTTCTGCGCTTTTGTGTTTAATAATATGTCTCTGAGTGACTATTTGAAAGCAGCTGCAGGCTGCAGGACAGGAAAACTCCACCTACAGTGAAATCTTGGAGATATTGCTGACAAGTAACATTCATAAACATAAGAAAGACAATCTATAGCAAGTCAATAGTGAACATCAAATTAAATGGAGAGAAATTAAAAAGTAATTACACTAAAATCAGGGACAAGATAAGGCTGTCCTCTCTCTCTCTCCATGTCTATTACAGTACTTGATGTTTTAGCTAGAGAAATAAGACTGTTAAGAGAGATCAAGGAAAGACAAATTGGAAAGGAAGCAAACTTTCATTATTTGCAGGGGATATGATAGTAAACATAGGTGACCTCAAAAACTCTAGCAGGTAAA